TTCTACTTTTACTCAAGTACAAGATCTGAGTACTTCTACTTTTACTCAAGAACAAGATCTGAGTACTTCTACTTTTACTCAAGTACAAGATCTGAGTACTTCTACTTTTACTCAAGTACAAGATCTGAGTACTTCTACTTTTACTCAAGTACAAGATCTGAGTACTTCTACTTTTACTCAAGTACAAGATCTGAGTACTTCTACTTTTACTCAAGTACAAGATCTGAGTACTTCTACTTTTACTCAAGTACAAGATCTGAGTGCTTCTACTTCTACTCAAGTACAAGATCTGAGTACTTCTACTTTTACTCAAGAACAAGATCTGAGTACTTCTACTTTTACTCAAGTACAAGATCTGAGTACTTCTACTTTTACTCAAGTACAAGATCTGAGTACTTCTACTTTTACTCAAGTACAAGATCTGAGTACTTCTACTTTTACTCAAGTACAAGATCTGAGTACTTCTACTTTTGTGTGTAGTATTCATCCACAGAGCCTTTTCTATAAACTAAGTGCAGTTGTGCTTCATTCGTCTAAAACATGTTTTGCAATTGATGATAAACTGTGCTTGCATTATGGAAGCAAACGTGGCAATGTGATTAATTTGCGTTAATATTTCTCTCAGGTTTCCATATTATTTGGAAGCGTTAAAGCTTCAAAGGAGGTACGTCACCGTCTAGTATCTGCACTTCAACACCCTCTTTACCATCAGATTAGAAAGGGCATGTTTCAAGTCAAGCACAATTTGTATTTTTGGAAAGAGGATCAGACTGGTGTTGGAAAATGCCTCCAGAGCGTTGTTTATATCCAAATATCTTGTTATAAATAAGACGAGTTCATTAAAGAAGCTCCAGGCGTGACTCTTCTTTAATGCGGTGCAATGAAAGAGACACTTCTCTAAACTATTATTAAAACATAAATGTGACAATTTGGTGAAAATCAAGACATAAAACTGGCATTTTTCACAAGTTCTCAGATCCAATGTTATCACCACGAGTCTTTTTGGGTTAAACTTTCATTACAATTACAAAAGTACTTTGAAACACATCCATAGAGTCCTTATAAGGCCTTGCAGTACATTGTGTCATCGGATTACTTTATGCAGATACATGTTTACAATCTGGAGTTTTCACAATCACTAATAACCGGCATCTAGAACAGAAACATATGTATTCACCAGTTCCTCCCAGTCTCATGGTGGTTATTGGCCCACTGGTTCCATGTGTCCTCGTGCACTTGAGTCCTTTACAATCCACGTGCCAGGAAGCCCTTTCTTTGCATCTTGTTTCCTCCGAGTCCTCCTCACGGTAAAACCAATTAACGCTCCACGCACACGCAATATTCAACGTAATATGTTTTAAAAAGGTAATTTAAAAAAAAGGGAAAATGGCTTAAATTGCTTTGAGTGTCTTCCATGCATGTTGGTGACTGATAGCGAGGTGCAGGAATGAGTCCTAAAACATCGGAATTAGTCAGTTTTTCTGCATTTTGGTTCGCTTACCACAAAGTCAATGGGTTTCTGGATGTGTTTTTGGTTAGAAGCCTCAAATAATGTCTTAAAACCGGGACGACGAAGAAATACCACATCCTGCACCTCTCTATTAAGGGTGATGAATACAAAATCTGAAGTGAGAATGAAAAATGTTCTGTTGCATCTCCTTCCCGTTAGGAAAGTTATTCTTTACACATTAAAAGAGTTTCGTCGTTCATCCCAACCCCCGTTTTAAAGTCTTTTTTTCACTCCGTGTCCCTGAGAACGCAGTCTGTCTCTTTGCTTCTGGTTTCCTCCGAGTCCTCCTCACGGTGAAACTAATTAACGCTCCACGAACAGAGATATTTTACATATTATTCAACGGTACAAGTAAAATGGCTTGAATTGCTTTGAGTTTCTTCCATGCATGTTGGTGACTGATAGCGAGGTGCAGGAAGGAGTCCGAAAACATCGGAATTATTCAGTTTTCTCCATTTTGGTTCGCTTACCACAAAGTCAATGGGTTTCTGGATGTGTTTTTGGTTAGAAGCCTCAAATAACGTCTTAAAAAACTGAGTGTCTAAATGAGACGACGAAGAAATACCACATCCTGCACCTCTCTATTAAGGGTGATGAATACAAAATCTGAAGTGAGAATGAAAAACGTTCTGTTGCATCTCCTTCCCGTTACGACAGTTATTTTAAACATTAAAAGCGTTTCATCGCTCATCCCAACCCCCGTTTTAAAATATTAGTCTTTTTTTTCAATCCGTGTCCCCGATTCTTCCACCTCTTACTCTTCATCTTCTTCCTCCTCAGGACACTTATTTGTGAGACGGGGAGAGTTCCTCCGTACGTCGTACATAAAAAGAAAAACATTAAAAGCATATTCATCGGTCATCCCAACCCCCGTTTAAAATCGCTCATCCCAACCCCCGCTTTAAAATATTAGTCTTTTTTTTCAATCCGTGTCCCAGAGAACAGTCTGTATCTCCCCTCCTCTTCCTCCTCACTGGGGTCCCAGTCCCCCCCCCTCGCTGTGGTCGCTCCCCCACAGCCGGTAGAACTGGGTGAAGTCGACGTACGGAGGGACCCTCCCCGTCTCATCGGGCTGAGCCGCCTGACTGCCTCTCTGCCGGAAGAGGCTGCCGTCCCCCGAGCTGGAGCTGGAGCTCTGGGTCTGAGTGTTGGTGGACTGGAGGGTGGCTGTGGGACTCTGACTGCTGGGGAGGAAGAGGAGGGAGGAAGAGGAGGGGAGAGGGAGAGGAGGAGGGGGGGAGGTGGGGAAGGAGAACAGGGAGGTGGAGATGGGGAGAGGAGAGAAGACAGGGGAGAAAGGGAGTTCAATTATAGGCTGCAGGATGTCAACGGAGGTGTGAAGGGTGGGGGGGGGAAACGAGCTGGAGGAGGAAGGACGGAGAGGAAGAGGAGAAGATATGAAGACGGGGGAAAACCAGGAGAATAATAAAGGGAGAAGTCGTGGACGACGGGAAACGGTAAGGAGAAGGAGAAGGAGAAGGAGAAGGAGGGATAAATGAGAGAAACAGGAAAGAAAAAGGGAATTACAGAGAGTAAAACAAAAACACAGAAATGAAAACGGAGGAAGAAGTTAAGATAAAAAGGGGGATGGAAATACAGAGGAGAAGATATAAAAACAGAGGGAAACCAGGAGAGTAACGAGGGAGACGTCGTGGAAATCGGGAAACGGTAAGGAGAAGGAATAAGTGAGAGAAAACAGGAAAAGAAACGGAAGAACAAAGGAGAGGAAAACGGTGAAACGGTGGAGGAAAAGGGAATTACAGAGACGGGAAAAGATAAGGTAAAAAGGGAAGGAAAGGGTAAAGGCGAAAGGAAAGGAAAAGGTAGAGAGGAAAGGAAAGGGTAAAGGAGAAAGGAAAGGAAAAGGTAGAGAGGAAAGGAAAGGAAAAGGTAGAGGAGAAAGGAAAGGAAAAGGTAGAGGAGAGAGGAAAGGAAAAGGTAGAGGAGAGAGGAAAGGAAAAGGTAGAGGAGAAAGGAAAGGAAAAGGTAGAGAGGAAAGGAAAAGGTAGAGGAGAGAGGAAAGGAAAAGGTAGAGGAGAAAGGAAAGGAAAAGGTAGAGGAGAAAGGAAAGGAAAAGGTAGAGAGGAAAGGAAAGGAAAAGAGGAGAGAGGAAAGGAAAAGGTAGAGGAGAAAGGAAAGGAAAAGGTAGAGGAGAAAGGAAAGGAAAAGGTAGAGAGGAAAGGAAAGGAAAAGGTAGAGGAGAAAGGGAAGGAAAAGGTAGAGAGGAAAGGAAAGGAAAAGGTAGAGGAGAAAGGAAAAGGTAGAGAGGAAAGGAAAGGAAAAGGTAGAGGAGAAAGGAAAGGAAAAGGTAGAGAGGAAAGGAAAGGGAAAGGTAGAGGAGAAAGGAAAGGAAAAGGTAGAGGAGAAAGGAAAGGAAAAGGTAGAGAGGAAAGGAAAGGAAAAGGTAGAGGAGAAAGGAAAGGAAAAGGTAGAGGAGAAAGGAAAGGAAAAGGTAGAGAGGAAAGGAAAGGAAAAGGTAGAGGAGAAAGGAAAGGAAAAGGTAGAGGAGAAAGGAAAGGAAAAGGTAGAGTGGAAAGGAAAGGAAAAGGTAGAGGAGAAAGGAAAGGAAAAGGTAGAGGAGAAAGGAAAGGAAAAGAGGTAAAATGGAAAAAAGGCCGGAGAGAATA